TCCCCAATGTACTTCTTTACTTTGTCCTTTCTTTTTTCTTTTCTTTTTGGGGGGAGGGGGAGGGAAAGTTTTTTTCTAGCCGCGGCCTCGTCTCTCGCACACCACCACTTCACGCTCCTACACCACCGTCACATTTAAGATCACACCACCACAGTTTTCGCAGCTGAGAAAATATCGTGCGCCCGTGTGCTCTCCTTTTGCCTCTTAGTACTTTATTTTGCGCCTTTATTAATCGAGCATACGTCGTACCACCGTCACCCGACAAGCCGTGCCCAAACTCGTTTACGTGTTATTTCTTAAAACCACCTTAAGTTACATATGCTTTATGGGTGCTGCTACTGCCGCTGCTGCTTACGCCTCATTGCGTGATGTAACGATTATCACGAGGGGGAACACCTTCTAAACGCACACCGGATGCAACCATTGTCACCGTATACCTCTCGTTCTTAATCCTTCATTTTTGTTTTTTCATATGAACCTCTTTGGTAAAACCGACTACGTTGTCATAGTCGTCATCACGCTCGTTAATCCCTTTATCGTAACCATTATCCAAAGTTTATATCGCCAAAGTCATCGTCATTGTCAACCTCGTCGTCGGTGTCAATGTCAATGTTATCATTGTCATCGCCTCGATCTCTCTCTTATTCTCGCTTGGTCGTCATCGTTATTGTAATTGCTAACGTCATTATCGCTTAATTCGTTCGCGTATAATAAAACGTCATTAATCCTCCTCCACGTTCATTCCGATCGTTGCCGTTTTATTTCGTCTCACCTTCGTACGAGTCATCGATCTTGCCATTTCTGTACAGTTCGATGTCCATTATTGTCACGTGATCGATAGCTCCTCACCTTCAACCTCGTCAGTATCAACGTTACTGCCAGCGTTGTAGTAATAATTTTATCCCTCTCTATTAGTCCGATCATTATCATTTATAATACCGTATAATAAACGGTTTATAACCACCATTACGAGTACCGTCATCGTCCTTGTCTTTGGTCGTCAATATTCGCCAGCATTATCATTATCGCGTTCGTCATTCCTGTCTCGATTATTGCCGCCGGTTTCGTTTACTGCATTTGCATTCTCGTTACAGGCTACATCTTGATTTCTCTTTTCTCGCGACCGATTTCGTCAGGCTCGTATGGAGAGTTTCACGCGACAGATCTTTATCAAAAGAAATCTTTATCGCGTTGTGAGGTAAAAATTACATTCATTTATATAAAACTGTAGCTCAAACTAGCTCCTGCGGCACTTATTATTATCGAGTGTATTAATAAGCGAGGAACAATAATTTTACACTGAAACGGCATCAAAGGTGCCAAACTATTAAAGAGCAAGTGATAAGCATGACGTAAGTGCTAATAATTTCACGTATAGTTAACAAATCTCGAAATTTCAGTGACATTTCCAGAGAGCGGAACGACGCGTGGTGTCAAATGTATCATTGTAATATCTCAATTCATATTGCTTGTCTTTCACGTATAAACGTTCTCGAAGTGATTTTACTCAACCGTAATCCGATTAGCTGTACTTAATATAATCACGTAACGTTACTCAAATCTTTGAGAAATATACTGTCAAAGCGTGTTATAACCTCGATCAAATACGATGACAATGGTAATAATCGCGATGCTCTATTCGGGAAGGCTCCTCTGACAAGATTCGTTTGCAGCACCTCTCGTCGCATGACGTTCATTTCTTTCGAGCGCAATTAGGATAACACAGTGCAAGCAGTTCTAAAGTTCCAGCGAACGATCGTGAGCGATGAAGTTAGTATTTCATGATCACCAGGTATATATATATATATCCATGTCGATGCATATTATTTACAGCAAAATAGAGCGTAATATCTTATATATATATATAGGTATATGTACATGTACGCGTGTGAATATGCGCGGGAGAGTGGAAATATGTGCGAGCTGTGTACACAAATGCGATATCTGTTTCTAATGAGGTGATGCGAATGAAGCGTAATGTATTCTATATTCCATGATTAATGGCATTTTCGTAGCCTTGAGCGAAAGAGCTACCAACAGAAGTTCTTTCTTCTCGCGCGATATTTAGGCCGTGAGAGATAGCGCTCGCTCATTAGAAACAACATTTTATTCATTATGTCCCTTCTTTTTTCCTCAATTATCTCCTTTATTTCCCTTCGCCGCTAAGTCGCGACGGTTTATATACTGCATTTATTGCCGCCGTTGTAACAATAGAGGTGTCGAGTTTTTCTTAAATATAATTACAATCTCACGGGTACGGGAACAATGCGATATTTATTTATATCAAAACGAACGTAGCTATACATTTTGTTGTAACCTGAGTCTTCGCGAAAACGTAACATTTTGTAATCTCTTTGTATACAACGAACGAAATGTCAGAAATTGCACAACGTCAAATAACATTTGAGTAATAAACCATCTGAGCTATTAAACATTCAACCAGCATTTTTATAACGACTTCAGCTTCATAATATCGTTCGATATCGAGGAACGGATGATGCCAAAACAATTCAGACTTTTTTTTCCCAGTCCTTAATCAAAATGCCGGTGGATAAACGTCCAACTAGTAATATTATTTTGCTCGATACGAGTGCCTTAATAACCGTATCTAGAAGACGAAACGAATATAAAAAGAGGGGCCGGGGATTCGAGAATTCAGACCAGAATTATAATTTTAATGAGCCCGATTTTGATACCGTCATATAAACCCGAAATAACGTATCTGACACACTTTCGTTACCAAAAACCAGGCGAAACATAATATTACAAATAAAGCGTAGAGGTCACTTCCACGCGTCGAAATTCAAAACTCGGCAAAATTACATCGGTTCAGTTTCCGTTCGGCTAAATTCGTTCTATTAAATCAATAACTATGCTCTAACTACGTTGTATAATATTGCGTTTCCGGCGTACCGGCCTAAACATAAGGAATCATCAGTAATAACTTTCTTTTCTCATCTCTTTGGTCTCGACTGAGGTAATCTGCCTGTGGAATAAACGACTAGCAACATTCCGCTTCAATACTGTTGAGATATAATTACAATACATCAGCGGTAGTGTAACATATATACTATAAGTGGAACACATTTATACAAAACGGGTATGCCTTCTATTGACAGCCGGTAGACTATATCTATCTCACTCTCACACATTTTCTCTTTCTCTCTCTCTTGCTCGTTTTCTCTCTCTTTCTCTTCGTAGGAATCTCCAAGGTCTGGCGTCGTATGTGTATTCCGCACACGGTATTCTTAGTTCCTTTATTCGTCCTGCTTAACGACACGACGGAGTGGCTCGTCCTAGATCAGTACCGGCGGTCAATACGTGACTTCGCACTGTGCCTCGTGCTCCTTGCGGTCCTTGCGAGCGTGATACTGGCTCTTATGGCTAACCAGACTATTCCTCGACTTGTAGCTCCTGCCGCACTGGTCGCAGGACAAAGATTGCGGCACGTAGAAGTGCGTGTCGGCCAAGTGCCTCTGCAGGGACCAGGCGCGGGAGAAGGTCTTCTGGCAGAAGTTGCAGTAAGTGCGATTCGAGGATTTGTGATCCGGTTCGTGGTACGCGCGCGACGCGTCTACGTGCTTCGATTGCGCGAAACCGTTCCGCGTGCGCATCCATCGCAGGTCGAACGGCGGCGCGTCATTGTTCGAGGAGACTCCGGACGTTTGCGGCTGCTGTTTATCCCGAAGGCCGTCGTGACGATACTCGTACGTCGAATCGAGATCCGTATGCCTCTCGATCGTATGATTCGACAGTAGGCAGGACTCGAGCTCGTCCATCCGCGGCGAGATGGGCTCCGATTTCAGCACGATCTCCATCTGATCGTTAATGTTGTCTAAGAGATCGATTATCGGCAGCTCGTGGTGCTGCGGTTGCACCGCCGTCTCGCCGTACCGATCTGCGCTTGTATTTTGGTTCGATTCCTGTATTTTTCGTTGGTATTCGATGTTGGTAGTGGACTGCCAACCCCCGTCCTCCTCGGCGACCTCCTGGTCTGCAACCAAAGAGGAGGGGGCTGAGTCCAACCGGATTCACGCGACATCATTTAGTACCATAACGAGCAACTTTCAGCACGAATATTTATTCTCTTTCTCTCTCTCTCTCTCTCTCTCGCTTTCTCTCCCAATCACACACTCTCTTTCTCTCTACCGTCGTAATGTAACGTAACGCGCGATTCCCGAGGCTGATTCTCTACAAGAGTGAGTTTGAAACGCTTTTACTAAAACGAGTAATATCCAAAGGTTGTATTCTTAGCACAAAGCTGACGAGCGAAATGAGAGCGACGTCTTGTCGTAGCGTTGCGAGACGGCGAGAGTCAATAAATCTAAACCACGATTGACTTGAGAAAGTCTCGAGCTAGACCCGTCCTCGAAGAATTGGCACACGGTGTGTCTAGTCCGTCCATCCAATTTATTTATTAAAATTAGAAATCCTATTTATAATGCAGCGCAAAGGAAAAATGCCATTAAAATTGTCACATCGGAACCCGTAATTCTGCTCTTGACGGCGGAATTATGGAGCTAAAAAGACTAGACGGGGGAAAGCAGATATGGATAATTACAAAGTAAATCCGGCGCGATATATCGATATGCGATTGTAAAACGGATAACGCGCCGGATTGACTTGCG